CGGGGGCTGACTGGGTGGCGCTGCAGCACGTGACAGGAACTGCTGGGCGGGGCCACCGGGACCCACGCGGAAGGGGGCGGGGCCACTGTTTCCTTGGAGTCCTTCTGCGAGGGAGCTGTGGACGCACTCCCAGCCCAGACTAAGTGGGTACCGACCCTCGCCCACCTTGCGCACGTCCCCCGGGCGCCTGTCGACTGACCGTGCAGGGTGTCTCCGCCGCGCTCTGAGGCGAAAGTGGCTGGAGCCACCGACCCGCAGACACCCCACCGCCCGGCCACCCTGCGTACACAAGCTTTTTCTGCAAACACGTCCATGAAAGTAACTCTCAGTGACCGAAACCCAGCGGGGCTGGATAGACAAACCCCCGTCCGCCCTTCCAAGTGCACCGTGAACCGGGAGGTGCTGCCAAGATCGGGGAAAGTAGGTGGTGAAAGGAAGCGAGCGGACAGCGTCTACAAGTTGGAGGGACATTTAAAAACTGGCTAAGAGCACTTAGCCACGAGGAGTGTCTCTAGCGTGTAGGAACAACAAAGGTGGGAAAGAGTCCCGATTTAGCTTTCTATTTGTTCTTTTGGTAGAGTAGGTTTTCCCTTGAATTTGAGTTCTATATTTTGTATCAGACTGAATTTTCAGTCCCTTGCCACAGGGCTGTGAGTTCTTTTTTTTACTGCTCAGGATTTTCCCCACCAGGGAATTGGTGGTCTGATGTTCAATTTTTCAAAAGGACAAATGAGGTCCCAACTCTTTGCCTATGACTTAAAGTTCAAAGTTCAAGTCTGATCACCTCAGAGTGCCGGGAGGATGTGGAGAAAAGGGAACCCTCATACACTGCTGGTGGGAATGCAAATTGGTGCAGCCTCTGGAAACAGTATGGAGTTGCCTCAAAAAAACTAAAAATGAAACTCCCATTTGACCCAGTTATCCCACTTCTCGGAATATATCCCAAGAAACTAGAAACACCAATCAGAAAGGATATATGCACCCCCATGTTCATAGCAGCACAATTTACAATAGCTAAGATTATTTGGAAGCCTAAGTGCCCATCAGCAGATAAGTGGATTAAAAACCTGTGCTACATCTACACAATGGAATACTATGCTGCTGTAAAAAAAAGAAAGAAGGAATGCTTACCATTTGCAACAGCATGGATGGACCCGGAGAGCATTATGCTAAGCAAAATAAGCCAAAGATAAAGATCACATAATCTCACTCATTTGTGGAATATAATGAACAACATAAACTGATGAACAAAAATAGATCCAGAGACATAGAAGCATTAAACAGACGATCAAACCTCAGAGGGAAGGAAGGGGAGGGTAGGCGGGGACAGAGGGAAGTGGGGGGAGAGAGAAGATAGAGACCAACCAAAGAACTTGTATGCATATAAGCATATAAGCATAACCAATGGACACATACAGGCAATAGGGGGGTGAAGGCCTGGTCTAGGGGGCGGGGGTGGGCTGGGAGAGGTCAATGGGGGGAAAAAGGACATATATAATACTTTCAACAATAAAGATTTTTAAAAAAGAAATAAATTACAATCCTTACTTTTGTAAAGCAGCTTTCAAAGCTTTTTCACATTATCTTATTTGATTCTCAGAACTATTTGGAGATGTAAATCATGAATAACCCATTATTGTTCAGGAAGCTAAGCTTCAGGGAGGATAAGTGACTTACCCAGAGACATTAAGTGTCCCATTAACAAAACTTGTATTTGAACCTAGACCAGTGGTTCTCAACCTTGGCTGCACATTAGAATCACCTGGGAATCTTTTTAAAATCCTGATTTATGGGCCTCATCCTCCGGAAATTCTGTTTCTTTGTTATGGGGTGAGGCCACAACATTAGTAACGAAACAGAATTTCCGGAGGATGAGGCCCAGAAATCAGGATTTTAAAAAGATTCCCAGGTGATTCTAATGTGCAGCCAAGGTTAAGAACCGCTGACCTAGACCTTCTTCAGTGAAAACCTGGGGAGTTTGGTTTGGCTTGGTTGTTTGATTGGTTTCTACCAATACCTTCAGAAATCAAAAAGGATAATTTTCAAATATAAAGTCAAATTTTGCATTTATATTTATGCACGCACACATTTCAGGAGCAGGGGGGGAAAAGATAGAAACCTTTTATAAATCTATCCAAATGTTCCTTCCCAGGAGTGAGTCTCATAAACATCACACATTTGAATTCTTTTCAACTATGGTTTGGCTTGTGACTTTTGTATGAACTGGGATTGACTGCATATGAAGTATAAATTTAATCAGATGACTACACCCCCAACACAATTGAATTCTCAGTTATATTTCAAATTATTAAAATTTATTACTACATCCCGAGTGTAGCAATTATTAAACTTCATTTCCACATTCCGAGTGTAGCAATTTTAAAAAATTACTGTACATATTCTTATCTGGTATATTAGGAGTGAGACTATCAAGATCCTTAAAGTAGCTTTCATTCAGCCTCAGAACTTCTTTATAGAGTGAGTGTTAGTACACTGAGAACTGGCAGTTGACTTATCACTAACTGACTTATCACCAGCCGACTTATCACTAACATCAGGAAATTTCAAGCTGTGGGGGGAAAAGCAACATAGACATCAAGTACATTGTGGGGTTGGAAGCTGTATTTCTCAATCACACTGAGTAGGGAGTGGCTGGAAGCCATGCCTCCACTCTGGGGAGGATTCCTGGCTGCCACACTCAGTCCTGCTGTCTGAAAGCTCTCCCAGCCGGTTGGATGTGTCATTTTGAAAGGACTCTGCTGAAACCTGATTGTTCTGCAACCACATTCAGTTGTGTTTGTTGGCATTTAAGCCATCAAGACAGTCTATTTGCTGAGGTTCTTAAAAGTTGCAAATCCCATGACTTGATTTCCACTGCTATTGGTCTGTCCCAGCACCATTCTGTTGGAAAATGCTCTTCCCGCTGCCCCGC